TGCGATTGTCTCTGTTGACAACAAACACCGGCTACCCGCGTGTAACAGTAACTGCATCGAGGACCGTGGGAGTGGGTGGGCGGGTGGCTGGCTGGGTGGGGGTTAGAGAAAGAGCCGTCGCTTTCTCCCCTCGTGTACACTCAAGGTATTATTTCCTTTTAGTTCTGAAATAATCATAAGCTGAAGTGCCTTAATGTAGTTGCCTTGATGTTTACGGATTCTTTGGTAAATAAATATTTTATCTACGCGACGGAATGCGGGGGAGATTATCAGAGAAAAGCAGTGTACGAGGCATCCATCTAGGCAAAGCTATATTTTCCTCCTCCTCTCTCTCCTTTCTCCCATGCTTGTATTCTTTCAGTATTTTGAGTCTTTTTTTCCCTTTCACACGGAGATCTCTTCTGCGATAACAAGGAGGCTGTCACAAGTAATTACCTGGGCTTCGTAGGAATAAATGAGCACACTGCTAGAATTAAATAAAAGATACAGCAGGGTTCAGGCTTTTAAAAACATTTCCCTCCCCTTTTTTTGGGAGGAAAGAGGGTTTTCTGTTTTTTTTTTTTAACTTAGCCGCTGTTAAACACTGGGAAGGCCCGCTGAGTTCCACAGGAGAGTTTGGAAAGCAAGGGGGTCGCATGACGCTGCATGCTCTAATATATGTTTACTTAAGAGCAAGTCCCTATGAAATGTGTTCAGGACTCCAGCTCCCCATTGCTCTAAACTTGCCAGGATCAAGTCCAAGAAATTTACTTCAAGGGAATCCACATTAATTCGTTTAATTAAAAAGAACAAAAATACCTAGAGATGACAGAAAAGGAACTGAGCTTCCAACCCTCACGCCTCGCCCAAGACGTGGAGGCGTAATTTCCTACAGCAGACCCACAACTGTGCTTTATTTACATTGGTGGCATGGGGATAGTCCCTCATTGGTTCCTCGTTCTATCAATTATAGTAAGGCAGGAGGGGCAAGAGGAAGACTGCGCCATCAGTGGTGACTTTACTCTTAAAACTTGTTAGAAACGGAAACCAAACAGGGACAAAGTTTAACGCACAATACCTCCTCTCAGATAGACCTTTGCCTGTGTGTGTCTTGTCTGTTTTGGCATTTTGCTGGAAGAAGTCTGTGCCAGTGGAAATTTGGCATGTCACATGACTAGGTTTAGTCAGTGTCAACAACTATGTAATTATGCTGCTTCTCAGATTTTCAGAAGAGTTCTACGTATTTGATGGTTACATTCGTACCTCTCTGAACCCAGTTACAGGGAACAGTCTTAAGTACAATCTGAGTGGTTCTCAAACTGGGGTCCCCAGATGTTCTTGGACTGCAGTTTCCAAAAGTCTTCCCCAACTTTATGTGCTGGCCAGGATTTCTGAGAGTTGTAGTCCAGGAACATCTGGGGACCCCAGTTTGAGAACCACTTACACAGGCATCCCAAGTCACAGTTGGACTACAGACGTTGAGGGATACAGACAGGTTGCTCAAAAGCAGCAGATCCAGCAGAAAGAGTCAGAGTGCTTTGGTATGTAAAGCATGACTTCCCCTGTATCCTAAGGCATGATGTTGAGAATGGAAGCCCCAGTGGAGCCGTCTTGGTAAAGACAGAAGGCATGACAAACAAGAGATTGTGTTGTGGTAATAACCACAGAGAGTTCTGTTGCGGTTCGAAGATCACCAAGTTTGAATTATGGCACAGGCTTTCACTCCCATCAGGTGAACAAAAGTGTCACTCCAAGGTGGCAAAGGTACACACCTCCCACTCTGGGTAAGGACTGTAAATAAAGAAGTCAGAAGAAAATGAAATGCAGAATGTACAGAAAGTAATAATTAAGCTAAGAGCAGCCATTCACAAAACTGCTGTTATACAAGACCACCAATATTATTGCATTATGGAACTGTTTAATACAGACACGGTGGTTAACAAACACCCTTTGCCTGCGTTGTACCCATGGGAAACAGAGCTGACTGCCTTGTGGGAATGTATTTTAACAATGCTGCATTGAGATTTGCCCTTGCAACTCCTTTATTCAAGAATGATGTCATGTCAGTGAGCCAGTGTCCTCTGACATTGAAGTGTGGTCTGTCACCTTACTGGTTTTGACTGCTGCCATTTCTTTAGTCAGGTTTCTGTTCACACACACACACATACATATATGGGCGGAAAGCTGACTTCAGAAATGGCAGCATTCAAAACCACAGCGATTGGCATACCTGTACCTTATATGAAGAAGTAGGGCACTATTTTCAATTGATGACATGTATTATATTGGAAAATGAGCAACTGCATGAACCCCCTCTATTGTTGTGTATGACATTATTATGGCTCATAATAATATCACTAGGGCAAATATAGGAATAGAATCAGCATCTACATTTGCCATAGCGTTTGGTTTCTGTGTTGCTATTGGTACTGTGTGGTTGGTTGTTGCTAGTTAAGCAGCTTTTAAAGCTTGGCTATCTGTTAGCAAGCACAGGCCTACCACTTTAAGGGAAATATAATTGCCTAGGATGGATTGTAAATCAGATGATGCAGGGGGTTATATTTTTCTGAGAGATCAGTGTAACATTGGTTTTTAGAATAAAGGAAAGCTAGATTTTTTTGTTTTTGTTTCTGTGTGATCTCTTGGAAAGAGCAGGGTTGGCTGATCTTCTGTAGGGTAATAGTGTGGTTCTATTACTATGAGCTGGGCACCAACCATTGCAAAAGCCAACTTGTGAATACTTAGCAAACAATGATACAATTTAAAAAACCTAAAAAAGAAAGATCTT